TTGTTCCATGAGGAGACCCCTGACACAAACTTCGAAGACGCTGTGGGGCCATCAGGGAGGTGGAATGCTCCCATGTCTTTTCTTAGCACCTGGCAAGAGGGCTCTGCTTTGTTCAGCCCTAGCGGGCTTTCAGCCAGAAGTTCTGTCGTGCTCCAGGGCAGAGTTTCTCAGCCTGGGGTGATTTTGTCCCCAGAGGTTGTGGGGCAATGTCTGGAGACATTTTTGGTTGTTACAACCGGGAGGGAGGTCTTGCTACTGGTGTCTGATGGGTGGAGACCAGGGATGCTGCTCCACACCCTACAGGGCACAGGACGCCTCCCACAGAGAATTGTCCAGCCCCAGATGTCAGTAGTGTTGAGGTTGAGAAACCCTGACCTAGCATAGGAGATTAATATCTATCTATCTATCTATCTATCTATCTATCTATCTATCTATCTATCTATCGATCTATCTATCATCTATCTATCTATCATCTATCTATCTAATCTATCATCTATCTATATGTTATATCTATCATCTATCTGTCTATCATCCATCTGTCTACCTATCATTTATTTATCTATCATCTATCTATCTATCTATCTATCTATCTATCTATCTATCTATCATGTATCTATTTATCTATTAATCTATTTATGACAGTAGTTGGCAACCCAGGGATGATCCTGTCCCCCCCCCCAGTGGACATTGGTCAATGTCTGGGGACATTTCTGGATGTCACAAATGGGGAGAAGGTGCTTCTGGCCTCTGGAGGGTGGAGACCAGGGATGCTGCTCCACACCCTACAGTGCCCAGGACGCCCCACATCAGAGAGTCGTCCAGCTCTGAGGGTCCTGGTGCCGTAGTGGACATCGTGCCAGAGTGTAGCTTCTAACCCAGGGAAAGGGGACCAGTTGGGGGTCTCAGCCCGCTGTGCAGTAAAAGAGGCAGGACCTGTGTGGGACATTTTGAAATGGATCTCTTGTTGTCCAGATGGTCTCATAGGAACCTTTCCCTATAGGAGGGCCCTCCTCACACACATCACACAGGAGCACAGCCCTCCACAGTTTGCACACTGGAGCAGTGAGAGGCCAGAATGGGGCCAACGGGATGACCTCGTAGCACAGGATGTGGGGGACACTTGGCCAATATTGGAGCCAACAGCCGCACAAGCTCCGAGGCCAGGAAACCTGTCCTTCCTCTGGAAGCAAGGGGGCCGGGGCGCTGAGCAAGACTCGAACTAGAACTGACCCTTCCCTCAAATGCTCAGCTTCTACACAGTGTTTCTCCTCTTTCAGATCAACTGGCAGGGAATGGGAACCCAGGCATTGACTGCAGAGCCCCCCCCCCACTATTTCTCAGATCCTGATGCTTCCACCAATGGTTCAGAGGTGGCAAGGGTTTCAAGGAGCCTTCTAGAGGTTCCATGAACTTCTGCAGTATCTTGCAACATCCCAGTAATGACGCAAGCACATTCACACCACCCCCGGGGGCCAGGGAGGGCCATGCTTTTCTTGTTGAGAGAGACCAGTGATCCTTTCATTGTATGACAGATCTGCATTTTTGAGACCGTGAGTGTGGATATGAGCAGTGTGATGAGGCAGGGCCCTGCCGCAGTGTTTTCCAGCTGGCCTCGCCCAGCTCCTGCACCTGGGTGGGATTTCTTAACCACTCTGTGCTCATCTGAGACGTGGAGCTAAAAGCAGGTCCGATATCTGTCCCCCAAGGCTGGTTGTTATGATCAATTGTTATCACTGTCTCTGTGGATGGGAGCCGGAGAACTTGGGGCTCCTTCCTCCTCTGGCCCTTCCTGTCTTCTCCAAGGCAACCGAGCCCTGATGGCTTTGAAGCATGCAAAGCCCCTGTTCCCCATGGGGTCGTGAGGGGAGACGTATCACAATGGGGGATTAGATGAAATCTGGCAAAGCCCTGCTCTGCCATGGGAGACACGTTCCTTGGAAATATCCCAGTCTGATGGGTGGTGGAGGACGTCGACGCCCCACTACTCTGGTTGCTAATGAGCTTTAGCATGGCTTATGTCCTCTCCACCCTTTTAAGATGTCTTTTCTCTCTTCTGGAGCCTAGATTGTATCGATTCTCAAAGTGTAAGATACGGAACCCTGAGGGGGGTTCCCTCAGGACCAGAGGTCTGCGGCGATGGGGACAAAACCATGTCTGTCTTTTTTAAACTATGTTGATGTTTGCACTGATGGTGTAGACGTGACACGGGGTGGCCCTCCTGGGGCAGGTGGCTGGTTTAAATGGGGAGGTGACCCCCTCTGGTACCCTTCCCCCCCTTCCCACCCAGGTGACATTTGCGGAGCAGAAGGCCCAGTTGTTCAGTTCCTGCACAGCAGGAATGTAGACTCCCTCTGCTGATATATGTCCCCTGCACACTTGAGCCCTCAGGGCGATGACAACCTGGTGGACCAAGGATGTCCACAGAGGTGGGAGAGTTCCTGAGATAATTGCCTGCTCTGTCTGCCCACTGCTTCTTACACTCTCCTTTGGCCCCAGCCAACGTTTGCCTCCTCCCTGAGGAGTTCCCCGGTCCATCAGGCTGACTCCTCTCTCCCTCTACGACTCTCCGTGGCTCACGTGTCCCCTGCCTGGGGTGCAGCATTGACTCTTACCCTGCATTCTTCTTTTGTCCCTTCAAGATGTGTGTCAAGGTGCTCAGCTCTCCAGGGCAGGACCCCTGGGGACCCACTTCCCCGCTCCTCCTCCTATGTCTCTGTATATTCAACTGCACTCAAGCTACAGCTGGAGGTTTCAAACTGTGGCCCCCGGGGGTCACATCTGAGCCACAGACCTCTTTGGCCCACCCAATTCTGGGCTGTCGACTCGAACTACTGGCCAACGTTTGGCAGTCAGGACAGTCCAAGAAATAACCCGGGAATTCTCAGGACAAATCCTAATGGGTGCCATCCCTGGTCCACATCCTCTTCTCTACCCTGCTCTTGGCTGCAGTGACGGGCTGCCCCCACTCCACATCTACCCCCAGGAATGGCTGGGAACATTGGCTTTCCCAGACAGGTCCCTGCCAGCTTGGGTCTTGGGGGCCCTGATCTAGACACCGCATCAGCAGAGGGTCCCTCACAGGCCCCTATCTCCAGCACCTGGGCTTTGGGGATTCAGGAGGGACTCGGATGCAAAAGGCTGGTGGGGGGGGCTGGTTTTCATGCAGGCATCATACATTTATTTATTCATTCAACTCATTCACTCATGTATTTATTCGCTCATGCTTTCATTCATTCATACATGTATTCACTGATGCATAATTCATTCATTCCCTCATGCATGCATGCATTCACTCATGCGTGTATTCACTCGTGCGTTACTCATTCATTCATGCACCCACGCATGCGTGACTGTTTCCTTTGCTGCCCTGCCTTCCAGAAGATCATATTCTGCCAGGCCCAGGCTGGGCTGGGCTGGGCTGGGCTGGGCGGTTCCCGGCGCGGCCTCCACCAGGGCAGCGCGCTGGTCTTGGGCCCAGGAGCCCAAGGCCCTGAAGCCATTGCAAACATTTACTTTGGGACTGGTGGCTAAAGGTTAAATGTCCAAACCTAGCAACCGCGGACTGCTGGATTCAGCAGGGCGGGGACTGGGGGGGCCCGGGGCGGGGCCCAGGAATGTAAGGCCGCAGCCGCG